TGAACTCGATTACCAGTTATTAAATTTTCAAACCGGTTATAGGCTGAACCCTGACCAACTCAGTTTAAACATATAAACTTGTGTCACGAGATGGATGGACAACAGCAGATATAACGATGAAAACAAAAACAGTACAAATAAACAAGTTTATTATTTACAAAAGAAATGATAATATCTACAAATGGAAAATTGAAATAAAAATAAATTGAGTTGAATATATTAAAACAAGTCCTATACTCTAAGGAAAGTCCTACACTTTAAAGTAAGTCCTATAAGTTACACATAGAGTAACACGTTGCAGTGACACACACAAATTCTGTATTATCCTTGCAACCTCCATCTATCCTTGCTGGGTCTTATGTTTAGTGTTGTTCATTCTGATCTGACATCAAAATGAACCAATAGTCACACGAAGAATACGAAGAGGATGGTCGTCGCTCGGTACATGCTAAGCGATAAATCCTTAACTCTATAGATGGATAGATTTATTTCAGCAAAGGAAGCATATACATAGTTGACAATATAACAAAGGATAAAATAATGAGCATTATTAAATACTATATCACATACGAGAAAACTATGACATGCTCACCAAAACCAAGGATAACACAAAAAAGGACAAAAAAGCTCTTATTTCCATTGTGGTCCTTTGTATTGGCGGCATGACAAAGAGAGGCAAACCAAAATATAATCATGTTTACTAATACTAATAAATCATAAAAAAGTATATCACAGTCAAATTTTGAGTTAATGATACTCCTGTTTACAGCTAGGATTTAAAACACATTACTAAAATTGTAAAAAGATAAATAGCAGACAATTTAAAATCCTGAGCCGAAATATGTAAAAACATGGTAAAAAAAATTAAATACTGTTCATAAGATGACTTTTGATGGCAACCTTTAAACTTTGTAACCTGTTGATCTCCATTAACTCTACAGGTAAATCATTCCATAATTTAATACCAGAGAAAGCAAAGGATTTAGAACCCTGGCCTTTGACCTTAGGTAGACAATACCCACCCTTTTGACTAAGTTTTGTACTATAATTATGTATGGACTCTTGCGAAATAAAGTGTTCAGACATGTAATCCGGAGATAGGCCATTTTTTATCTTAAAAACATGACACAACATTATCTGTTCAACTCTTTTGTGGACCGGTAACCAGTTAAGGGACTTAAAGTGGGATGGGTCAATATGGGCTGTGGAGTCCAAGTCAAGTACAAATCTCATTATTTTGTTTTGACAAGTTTGTCTACTTTGTTTACTTTTTAAAGACTGTGTCAAGCTATTATACCAAACAGAACATGCGTAATCATAGTGACACTGAATAAGAGACATAACCAGAAGTTTCTTGGTATGCAGAGTAAGGAAATCTTTCTTGCGGTAAAGAAATTTTAACCGAGAGTTGGCCTTCTAAGAGCAGACTCGGCCATGGCGCAAAATGACAGATTTTGGTCTATAGTAATCCCAAGATACTTGATAGATGAAGTTGATTCAATAGATGTACCAGAACAGGTTATATGCAGGTTAGATTGTGACCTTAGCTTTTGCCTGGACCCAAATAAAATTGACTCGGTTTTACCCAAGTGCAATGACAACTTATTGTCCACTAACCATTGGCTTACCAATTCCATATCATCTGTCAATGCCTTTTCAACAACAGATAAACTTTTACCAGATACAAGGATACCAGAATCATCAGCATACAAAATCAATTTATTTTTGACCACAGCAGACATATCATTTACATAAATTAAAAAGAGAAGGGGTCCAAGGATTGAGCCCTGAGGGACACCACATGTTATTTTGGAATTGGAAGAATAAGTACCAGAGACATCTACAAGCTACTGTCTATCTGATAAATATGATTTGAACCAATTTAGGACGTCAATACTAAGACCTGATGCTGGCAGTTTCATTAAAAGAATGGAATGGTCGACTGTGTTAAACGCTTTCTGCAAATCCAGCAGCACCATACCAACAACATTACCTTTATCATTTTCATACCTGATAAAGTCTGTAAGGTGAATCAGACAAGTATCAGTAGAGAAGCCACTCCTGAAACCGGATTGAAATTTATACAGCATATCTTTATCCTTAAAATAAGCTTCAACCTGGTCATAAACCACCTTTTCAAGAATTTTAGATACAACATTTAAAATGGACACAGGCCGGTAATTACCAACAGACAATTTGTCGTTCTTTTTATAGAGGGGAACAACTCTTGCAGATTTAAGATCATCAGGGACTTGAACTTTGATAAGGGATAAGTTTATGATATGAGCTAATGGACTAGCAATAACTGGGGATCCATCTCTGATAAAACGTGAGGGTATACCATCTAAGCCAGTAGCTTTTTTGACACCTAATGAAGTTAAGTATTTAAGAACTTTATTTTCAGAAACAATGGAAAAAGAAAAACTGTTTGCAAAAACGCCCTTGTTTGCATAAAAAGTATTAACAAAATTTGTACCAAATTTATGCATACTTTCTGGCAACTTTTCAACAAGTTTACATGCAACTGTTGTATACAATTTGTTAAATGATTCAGCAATAAGTTTCTTTTCAAAACACACATTATCATCGATATTTAAACAGATATTTGAACTGGTTGAAGATGAACCCTTCTTGGAAGGCAAACAAAGATTTTTAACAGTTTTCCATAAAGAGGTTGAGTCATTTTTGTTCTCATCCAGTGTATTAGTAAAATATTCCTTTTTTGCTTTGGCAACAAGATACTGAACTTTGTTCTTGAGAGTCTTAAATGAGTCATAATCATCACAATTTCTATCACATTTATATTTATTAAAAGCTTTATCCCTTTCATTAATTACACTAAGAATGTCTGAGTCAATCCATGGTTCTGTTCTCTGTTTAATTCTGATCTGTTTCACAGGTGCTATATTGTCTATCACAGATAAAAATAACTGTTTAAATATATTCCAGGCATCATTTACATTATCACTTAGCAAAACAGGAGACCAGTCAGTATCTAGAAGACTAGCTTGAAAGTTATCTTTGTTATAATTTTTCAAAGATCTTAAAGTGACATTGTTATGAAAACAAATATGAATTTTACTGACTTTCCTTGTACAAAATATTAAGATATGATCACTAAATGAAGTATGAATTACACCTGACTGAGTAAGTTCATCATTATCAGACATTAACTCTAATTGATCTGGGTAATCGTCAAGAGCGTAGCTCCTACCCTCCTTGGTATACGAGTTGCTTATTAACTTTCGGTTATTAAATATTCCTAGCTATCTTTGCCTTATTGTAATGGGATCGTTCGCCAGCATTGCTGGTTATCGTCATGTAGGTGCCCGCCTATAGTAAACGTTTCAAGTAAAAAAGAACAATAGTCACTTCTTGTCATCGGATTTGTCACTGCAATTATTTCTAATTATTACACATGTAATATCACAAGCTTTAAATGATATTGAAATGTATTAATAATATACGGACGCTGTTTCGTTATTTGATTAACATAATATAAAGTGTGACACAAATTAATAATTATAACAAGTACCTTGCAGCTAGTACAATTTTACAATACAATTTAGGAATGAACATCACATACACGAATAACAAGATGTATGACTGACAAAGACGAGGGACGGGTATTCCGGTCCGAACCGCAAACATATGTTAGATAATTTTTCTTGCATATTCTGCCAAATTTATATATTTAAAATGGTTTACATCAATATGATATATGTACATGGAAATTAAAGTCATTTCATCCATAACTATTTTCTTACAATAGCGTATGAACTTACAACTTAAATAACAACGGCGAAATGACGTCATCCTAAGCACATATTTCCCTCTAAAACGACGTCATTTTAACGCGGTTCTTTCATAAAGTGCGCTAAAATGACGTTGATGTTTGGCACGCGACTCATCTGGCACCACCCATGCCAGATGAAATTTCTGGCATGGGTAAAACTCACGGAAACGCCAGTCTGCTATGCAAGAAACTGACGGCGTTCCATATTTTTATTATACAAAATTTGAAACTGACAATTGTTCAAAAAGTGTATGCATATAAAATAAAAGAATTGTAAAGTAAAAATAAAAAACTAGATTTTTTTCCCACAAGCAATCTTTGAAAGCAAAACAATTTACGACAATCTATAATTATGAAGAAGGACTCATCTGCGTGCACTTCCATGAAAGCAAATATCAAAATTTAAAACCGATAATTTTACGTGAAAATTAATCGTATGAATATACGAAAGCAAAAATTCAAAACTGTAAATATTTCAGCAAAATCAACTCAAAAATATATTACTGAAAAAAATAATATAATGTCTCTTACTTAGATTTAGCGAAATTTATCACTTACAACTAAGTAAATATTTGAAAAGAAATGCCTCTTTTTACGACACTTTTCTTAGAGTTGAACATTTGGGATGGCTAGTTGTCTGTCATTTATCATTGTCACAATTTCATTAAATTACTTCCAATTTTAAACCCTATGGTGGATTTTGAACCAATTTTACAGTTATGATTATTAAGTGGCCCTCCACACAATCATAGAAAAAAGGTCTTGAGTATAAGTAAATTGCGAATAAAAAACAACTTTAAGAAAAATGATACAAAAGGACTTAAAATGAGATTTAATGAGCTCTTCAAAAAAGATTCCCTTGCACAGCCACTTTTTTATCACAAAACAAAATGATAAATTCAGTCTTAAAAGATACTTATATAATATCCATCTTAGTCTATATATATGTATATCACAATAAAACGTAAATAAAAAAAATGTCATGCCTCAGGTTGTGTAATTCTACAATTTTTACAGTCGGATATATAAAATGTCAAGTACATTGATGATTAAATTGTGTTTAAAGTAAAATATCCAAAAATTAAAAATGGGTGTTTACAAATAAGATAATGTACATAATGTAACATATAATGTACATGTTTAACCATAGCAACAATATTGTATAATGCTCTCTTTTATTATAACTTATAATTTTGTTATTTTCCATTTAGGGATGGCTGAATTTTATTAAATATTTAAAGATCCTGTTTGATTTTTGTTTTCCTTATGTTTTTTTATAGCAAGACACATATTAGATAGATATAATATGTTGTTTAGCAGGAGTGTTCCTTTACATTTTGTGTCTCTCTTTTTCATAATTTATACTTTTGTTATTTCCGCCTTTTTGTTGTACATTCTATGCCCTGATATTTCTCAATACCGATAGAAGTGTGCAGATATGTATCTTTGCAGCATTGTTTCTCCTCCTTAGATTCAGAGACATCAAATAGCACTGTAGAGCATCCCTTACTCTACCTTCTTGTTCCATACACTTTCCGAGAATACTTAAAGCTGTTTCCCGGTGTCCAAGGTTTGGTTCGGTTATTATGGTTCTGAGAAGGTTTGAGAGAGCAGATTGTTTTTCATTATTCCTCCCAAGATGTCTGGTAACCTTGTATTGTAGAAAATACAGGTAAGGTAAAGAATCCACCACAGCATTATCCATCCAGTCATCTTCTTCTGTAAGGAATATTCTGTCCTCCGGTGTAGATCTTAACATTTCATATCTGAGTTCAGTGGGTATACAGTGAATTTCACATGGCAGAAATGTGACACATGATGCAGTTGTATACTGTATGGCGTCTTCATTATAATTGTCGCATGTCACAAAGAATCCTTGTCTTGGTGCTTTTTTTTCAAACTCATAACAACTACAGACTGGCTCAACAATTTGCAGATCATAGCTTCTTTCAATCTCACTGAGAACCAGGTCAGCTTTTTGTATTTCTTGTACACAATATAAAATTGAAGCTAATTTCAGTTTACTTGATGCAACATCTGTATGCAGACCAAGTGAGATGAGTTTGAGAGCATCAGCTGATACAGTGTTGTGCTGATTGATGTTGATGGAGGCCAACATAGATCCAAGGGTTGTACAGTACCATGGTGCTAGACGTTGACAGGCTGTCTCAACCAATCCTTCATATTGGAGATTTAAGATACTTAAAATACAGTTTGTCAATATCTGTACAGCTTCATAAGGACTTTTGTTCTTTAGAGTGGAACTATTAAAAAGAAATGAATTTAAAATGTTGCTAGCTGTATCATGTAATAGATATCCTGAAATGAGATCACTTGTCTTGAATGGACATAAGTTATAAAACTTGAGATGAAGCCTGGAACCAAGATCATCACATTTAATACCAAGTAGTGCCACTCCTTCACTGTTGATAATGTTGTTAAGTATTTCCAGGATATATGGTTTGTCTACAGGTGATATCTTACCTCTCATCAAATTGTTCTCAGGTATGATAAAATGTGGACAGTTTTCATTAATGATATTGTTATAAAGGAGATTTAAACACAGTGATAGACAAGAAAATAAATTGTTTTCTCTCCATATGTTAAAATGTGAATTTGCAATACAGTGGAAGAGAACAGTTTTACACATGTAACTTGAAATTACATCTTCAAACTGTGAACCAAGGAATGATTTTATAAACATTTTCATCAAGACATAACAGCGAATCTGTGTAATATTCAGGTTGAACATTAAACACCTTTCAGATAAAGATGTTGATATTCTCCATTCAACATGCTCATGTTCACTTCCTCTACATCCAACAGCAACAACAAAGCATCCCGTTCTGCTGCAATATTGTTTCATTTCAGCAGACGGCCACTGAGCATCACCTTGTTGATCCAACCATTGTCGAGCTTGTTGTGGCCATGTTTTACAGTGCAGAGCTGTCACAATGTCTGTATCTATGTAACCATGTGGTCCTTGACTTACTCTTGCTGGTCCATGTAATTTGTCGAAATATTTACCAGGGACAATAAATTGTTTTAGCAGCATTTTTCCTGTTCTGTCTCTGAAGAAGTTTTGATCAGATTCTCCATCAACAGGAAGAGGAGCATCATTCCTTAGTAATTGAAGTAAACAATATCCAGGAGATACAGAATTATCTTGAATCATCAAATAATTAGTTACACCAGGTATCCATTCACACCAATCTTGTATTACAGGATGATTATTGAAACAATAAAGTTCATCTGTGTCTGACTCCATCCCTATGGTAGTTGTTCCTTCTGATCGACTTCCGAAATAATATAACGTATAAGTATTCTCATTACGTAATTGGTTATTCACATTGATCATTGATTCTTCCAGAAGCAATGCTCTTCTCCTCTTCAGCACAATTCTCTCATCAACACCTATATCAGCTAGTACTTCAGATAATCTCATCGACACTGTCTCGGTGTAATTTGGTACTTGATACATTCTGTAAATATAATTTCTAACATATTAATTTATTAAATTTCGTTTTTATAGATTTTATTTGGTCAGATGATAATTGTTAATTGTAATGACTATTCGAAACAATTTTGCTTTTTTAAACTTACTGTCCAGTGTAGAATAATTCTTGTTTCATTTATATTATGTAACATGATTCTTTAAGCAGCATGGTAACTTTTTATTAAATGAAACTCATCATTGATCTGTTATATACATGTACATGTACTTATAATTTATTTCTTTATCCTCTTAACATTACACATATTATTAGTATTTAATTACCTTTTGTTTCTATATGCAGTATGTTATAGGTATTGAGGTTTAGGAGATTACAATGAAAAGTTTCTTTTATTCGTTTTGTATTTGTAAATCTTGAATATTGGGTTTTCTAAAGTAATTTTACTTCCTCTTTTTCTTTCAGTCTTAATAAGATAACTCTTTTATGAATGTTTATATGTATATCTGACATTTGTTATTTCCCTTCCTTTTTTATTGAACTACATTCCATTGAAAGACATACATAGGTAGCATCATAGAAATGGGTAAATAATGGTAAAATTACTATAAAATATTATCCGAAGGGGATGCTAGATAGTATTTTAGTTCCGGAGATTACTAAATGATAATTTTAAAATGCTTGTGGGTAACATTGGTAAAGAGAAAATGCAAGCAACAGTACTCATTGTATTTATGATACTTTGAAATTTGGTAGACTCTTTATCAAAGTAATTCCTGCTATTATAGATAATGGGTTGGAAACTTGTTTGAAGGCATTTCCTGTTAAGCTCTACGTGCTCAGATGTGAACACGGAATGCTTCTTTTGTCTTTGGGGTCAAAGTTGGCCGCGCCCTGAGGTCATTTAATTTACATAGACTCATGTAGACAAACATATTTGATAACATGTTATAACTATGCCCAGAGCTTGCATATTCCTCATGTTGTGTAGACATAAATAATGTCTTTATATTGATTTTCCTTACTAAGTTTTAAGACCAACTCTGACAAATACATAAAATTTTCAAAAATAATTTATTTTTAACACATTTACCTTAATAATACATCTTTGAAATATTTATCATCATATTCATAAGTATCTAATTCTTGAAGAATATCAATAGATTAACATTATGTTTGATTTACCCTTTTTTCTTCCTCTTTCTTCAATTCAGCTATTTATGAAACTCGTTATTACCTTATAAGTTTCTATTTTTACATTTCTCTGAAAGAAACACTTGTCAATAGTTAAATAAAATTACCTTTTTGTTTATATATGCTGTAAACTATAGGTAACGAGGTCTGTAGATTCCAACACCTTTCAGAGAAACATAATTTTTGATTAATTTCTCAATTGTGAAATGTTGTTTTTTTTTTATAATAATTTTACTTCCTCTTTCTTTTCAATTTTAAGAAGATTACTCTTTTCATGAATTTTTATATATCTGACATTGGTTACCTCCCTTTCTCGTAGTTGATAAAGAACATAGTCCTTCATTCGTCTTGTTTTTTATGGTATCATTATTGTAAAATAGCTTAAACCCTGATTTTAATTTTTCAGAAAAAGTGAGAACTAATAACATGAAAACATAATATTAATATCTTAAAGTATAACTAAAACAAGCAAACATTAAAACACAATTATTACAGTTAATATAATTAATTTAAATTTTTATCACTTTCTTGCTTTTTTAAATCTAAAAGTATGTTGTAATTTTGATGACTAAAACAAAAATACATAAGACAATCATCACAGTTTATATATGGTTTATTTCACCACTTTTCTATCTGTTTTATATTATTTACAATGCATATATGATCAATATTTCGCTTTTAATATATCAATGAATTATTTTCTATGATCAGTGACAGTCTTAAATTAAATGGACACTGTAGTACTGAATGAGTTGAATTCTGTTTTTTTGCTCATTATAGAAATAAATGATATTTATCATAAGACGCACCAATGTAAATCACTTAAATTTTTTTCCTGAAAAATCTAGAAAATTTAACATTGTATTTTCAAGCAGCAGGTGCAAATTTTCATGAACATTTTCAAATTGTATTTTAAAGTAAATATTTACAATATAAAAAAAGGATAATTAATTTACACATTGCAAACAGTGCTGACAATCCATGTAAATTCCCGCAAAAAGGGAGGCAAAAATATGTAAAAATAGCCCTTACTGTGCGAGTAACAATAGAACTATGGTGATAAATATGGCATAATCAGCTTTCAATCGTAAGGTGTAAATATTAAACTATTCTTAAAATCTTAGTACATGATAAATCGGTGCTAGAGTACAGTTGCTGATAAATCGGTGCTAGAGGACAGTTGCTGATAAATTGGTGATCGAGGACAGTTAATGATACATCCATGCTAGAGGACAGTTGCTGATAAATTGGTACTAGAGGACAGTTGCTGATAAATCAGTGCTTGAGGACAGTTGCAATTAAATCGGTGCTAGAGGACAGTTGCTGATAATCAGTACTCGAGGAGAGTTGATGATACATCTGTGCTAGACGACAGTTTTCTGATAAATTGGTGCTCGAGGACAGTTGATGATACATCAGTGCTAGAGGACTGTTGACGATAAATCGGTGCTCAAGGACAGTTGATGATACATCGGTGCTAGAAGACTGTTGACGATAAATTGGTGCTCGAGGACAGTTGATGATACATCGGTGCTAGAGGACAGTTGCTGATACATCGGTGCTCGAGGACAGTTGACGATACATTATTGCTGATAAATTCGTGCTCGAGGACAGTTGATGATAAATCGGTACTCGAGGACAGTTGCAGTTAAATCAGTGCTTGAGGACAGTTGCTGATGCATCGGTGCTCGAGAACAGTTGATGATACATCTTTGCTAGAGAAACTTCGTGATAAATCAGTGCTTGAGGACAGTTATTTGTAGTTGTGATCATGAAACTTCAAAAGAATACACCCATTCTTAAGTTCAAAATGGACAAATCCGATGAAAGTGAAAGCTGGAAAAGTCCATTTAAGAAATACAACACATCATAGGGTTAATAAGATATAAGCTATAAGCAAAACCTCTATCAAGTTGCACCAAGGCAACCTTTCTTAAATGGTCCAACTAAAGCAAAAAATATCACAAAACAGACACAATAACTTCAACTACTCTTAACATCTTTTATTAGTAGTATATCTGTAAAAATATATAACTCTATCAAATAACTTGTATATATCTAACAGCACTCGTCATAAGTACCATATTGGTATGTAGCATTTAGGGCATATAAATGGAAATAACATAATCATGCAAACATACAAAATTTTGGCAATCAGCTATCACAGTAAAAATGTCTAAGAAGTTTAAGGTTAAAGTTTAAGCACAACTTTGATAATTTAAAATTTGCATAAAATTACAGACAATTATACTTGAATGATACTTTTCATCAGGGAAGATGAAATAAAATAACTTTATGTACAATGATACCTGAAATTTACCAACAAATATAAATACTATTTATCACATATCTGTTCCGATTTTGTGACTCCGTAAAAATGGTATTGCACGACTGTGCATATATTTTGACATAACTTCACTTGCATTATACAAACATAGGTTTGTTGACTCAATGAAAAAAGATTCATTGCAATTTTTACAGTCCTTATTTTGGGTATGTGATAAATAGAATATTACATTTGTGTAGGTTCATTTCTGAATTTATTGAACAACTTCAGTATTAATATAATTTTATTCAACTCGTTCAATAAATTCAGTATTAGACCTACACTCAATATCATCTATATATTGAGTGTACGGCATCAGATAAACTGAGATCAATATTATTATTGACTTTTTAATGGCAAAACATTCAAAACATAAATACTTAACAATAATTGGAAGCTTGTTAAATAATGAAAGATCAATTAATTAATAAGTCACATTATAATTAAACTAGAAATGTGTGTATAGGGCGCAAATACCCCAACATTATACAGTCTACAGGCATGTTTTGTGACGCACAAGGGCAACATAATATGCACCACCCTTTTAGGGCATAAAACCACTCTGCAATGAAATAAACCAGCTTGTCAGGGCATAAAATATGTATATGGCGTCCTTTTACATGAACTTGTGTTCAATTCCCATGTTTGATAACTAACCATCATGGTTTCACTTGGAAGTTTCAGTTGCCGTGACTATAAAATCACCATCTCTAAGTTATCATGCAGCATAACAATCAAAACTGATGTACATTAGCGTGGAATAATTTACACATTTTCCCTGATTGTCATCATGTTGGCAGGTTTGGTCCTGTAATAGTCTGGGTTGTCAAGGATACTAGAGGCTACACTTGGGGGTCTGGAAGTCTGATGGTAGACATCAGGTTGTGTCAGATATGGATCTAGTGGCTGGTCCATACTTCCTCTATAACATAAAATTGTATTGATGTATTTTATATATTTCATATTGTATTTTATGTTTTAAATATATGTATACATGTATAGATGAGACTATCATAACTTGATGAAATAAAAGTAAAATATCAATAAATGAAAAAAGGTAAAATTTCAATTAATGAAAGAAAAGTAAAATTTCAATAAATGAAAGAAAAGTAAAATTTTAATTAATGAAATAAAAAGTAAAAAATCAATTAATATAATAACTATAAAGAACATACATATCAATTAATGAAAACAGGTAAATTACAAAACTATCAATTAATGAAATAAAAAGTAAAATATCAGTTCATGTAAAAATAAAAGTTAACAGTTAATGAAGTAAAATGTGAAATATCAATTAATGAAATAAAGTTAAATACTACATGTCATTAAAAAATGAAAGTAAAATATCAGTTACTGAAATAAAAAGTATAATATTAGTTAAAGAAATAAAAGTAAAATATCAGTTAAAGAAACAAGAGGGCCATGGTGGCCCTGAGGTCGCTCACCTGTATATAGCCCCCCCCCCCCCCCGGGCCAATTTTAACCCAAGGGCTTTTATTTGTTTATTTGAACAGACTTGGTAGACACCCATAAGATGTTTCATGCTAAACATCTAAGTTCTAGTTCATTGGGTTTTTTAAAAGAAGATTTTTTAAGTTTTTACTATTTACACATATAGTTAAAAACAATGACACCCCTGGGGCAGGGCCAGTTTTGACCCCCGGGCTTTTATTAGAACAAACTTTGTAGATATTTTCTAAAAGATGTTTCATGCTAAATATCTAAACTGTAGCTATTTGGGTTTTTTCAAACAAGATTTTTAAGTTTTTGCTATACAATTATAAGTAAAATCAATGACCCCCGGGGCAGGGCCAACTTTGACCCCGGGGCTTTTATTTGAACAAACTTTGTAGACACTGATTAGAAGATGTTTCATGCTTAATATCTAAACTCTAGCTATATGGTTTTTTTCAAAGAAGATTTTTTAAGTTTTTGCCATACACATACCGGTATAAGGAAAATCAATAACCCCCAGGGCGGGGCCAATTTTGACCCCAGGGCTTTTATTTGAACAAATTTGGTAGACACCCATTAGAACATGTTTCATGCTTAATATCTTAGCTCTAGCTCTTTGAGTTCTTTAAAAGAAGATTTTTTAAGTTTTTATTATATGCATATAGGGAAAATCAATGACCCCCTGGGGAAGGGCCAATTTTGACCCAAGGGCTTTTATTTGAACAAACTTGGTAGACACTCATTAGAAGATGTTTCATGCCAAATATCTTAGCTCTAGCTTTTTGGGTTCTTTAAAAGAAGATTTTTTAAGTTTTACTATATGCATATAGGGAAAATCAATGACCCCCTGGGGCGGGGCCAATTTTGACCCCAGGACTTTTATTTGAACAAACTCGGTAGACACTCACTAGAAGATGTTTCATGCCAAATATCTAAGCTCTAGCTCTTAGGGTTGTTCTAGCTCTTAGGGTTGTTTAAAAGAAGATATTTAAAGATTTTTCTTTCGGTTGCCATGGCAACCAGAGTTCTGCATGGAATTAAATTCTTTGAACAATTTTTAAAGGTGACCACCAAAGGAACATCCCTGTGAAGTTTGGATGAAATTGGCTTAGTGGTTTATGAGGAGATGTCATTTAAAGCAAAAGTTGACGGACGGACGTTCCTACGAATGGTCATATATTGGGTACTTCTTTTGTTTAAAGGTACCCAATAAGAGAACATAAGTACCCAACAATACTGACGGAATGAATAGAATTACCCAACAAGTGTCCTCTGGTGTGTTGGAGGTACCTAACAAGTATCCACTCATTTGCCCGGACGGACGCCGGACGAAAAGCGATCACAAAAGCTCACCCTGTCACTTTGTGACAGGTGAGCTAAAAAGCAAAATATCAGTTAAAAGAAATGAAAGTAAAATATCAATTAATGAAATAAAAAGGAAAACATCAATTAACAAAATAAAAGTAAATTATCAGTTTAAGAAATAAATGTAAAATATCAATTAATGAAAAAAAGTAAAATATCAATTAATGAAATAAAAGTAAAATATCAATGAATGAGATAAATGTAAAACATTAAAGAAATAAAAGTTAAATAGGATAAAAATAATAAAATTAAAGTAAAATTACTTAATATAGTATAATCAAAATATCAATTAATGAAACAAAAATTACATACTAACTTGTGAAGTTCTTAAAATCTGAGGGGGAAAAGGCAATGATATAAAAAAAAAAACAATGAGTAGAAATACACAAGTGAAAATGACATGTGGAACATCTTTTAGCAACCAGTCAAACCTTTCTTTTCTACATATACACATGTAGATATCTTATATAGTATAGTAATACAGGTAAATGATAGTACACATGGTTGCTGTACATGATGATTGTCATATAATTTCTCATATGTGGATTATAAGATCTAGATGGCTTGCTTGAGAAAAATAAAAATTTACCTCCTAGTAAATTAGGTGCCATAATGACAGATCTTATTCTATGCTCCAGTATAGAGCCAGGCTATCCTTACAATGATTTACTATAATTAATTAATTACTAGTAAATTACTTATGGCCACTTCCGAGTGCAATGTAGTGCATGTTTTTTTTACACAATTGAAAAAAAAATGTGAAGATTTTCTCTGAATCAAGAATCAACCTAAATGGACATGATATCATAAAATGACAGTCCCTTAATATAAAACTGTTAACAATGAATCATACCTGGATTGACCTAAAGATCCCCTAGTCCCAGGTGTACGAGGGGTTTTCTTCTTGAATGACTCTCCCACTTTCATCTGTGGTGTTTGAAGCCTCTTTGGTTGATATTTAATCTCTACGTTCTGGCATACACTCCTGACATCCCCGCTCAACGTGTCCTGGAATATCCTCATTATACTCTTCATCTCCTCTAGTCGAAATATTGACTGAAATAAATAACAGACCAGTCAAGTCAAGTAATATCTCATTATCAAGCTGGGAATGATAATACTCTAGTCAAGTCAAGTATTATCTTATTATCAAGCTGGGAATGATAATACTCAAGTCAAGTCAAGTAATATCTTATTATCAAGCTGGGAATGATAACACTCCAGTCAAGTCAAGTAATATCTTATTATCAAGCTGGGAATGATAACACTCCAGTCAAGTCAAGTAATATCTCATTATCAAGCTGGGAATGATTATACTCCAGTCAAGTCAAGTAATATCTTATTATCAAGCTGGGAATGATAACACTCCAGTCAAGTCAAGTAATATCTCATTATCAAGCTGGGAATGATAATACTCCAGTTAAGTCAAGTATTATCTTATTATCAAGCTGGGAATGATAACACTCCAGTCAAGTCAAGTAATATCTCATTATCAAGCTGGGAATGATAACACTCCAGTCAAGTCGAGTATTATCTTATTATCAAGCTGGGAATGATAATACTCCAGTCAAGTCAAGTATTATCTCATTATCAAGCTAGGAATGATAATACTCCAGTCAAGTCAAGTCATATCTCATTATCAAACTGGGAATGAAAATACTCCAGTCAAGTCAAGTAATATCTCATTATCAAACTGGGAATGAAAATACTCCAGTCAAGTCAAGTATTATCTTATTATCAAGCTGGGAATGATAATACTCCAGTCAAGTCAAGTATTATCTTATTATCAAGCTGGGAATGATAATACTCCAGTCAAGTCAAGTAATATCTTATTATCAAGCTGGGAATGATAACACTCCAGTCAAGTCAAGTATTATCTTATTATCAAGCTGGGAATGATAATACTCCAGTCAAGTCAAGTATTATCTTATTATCAAGCTGGGAATGATAACACTCCAGTCAAGTCAAGTATTATCTTATTATCAAGCTGGGAATGATAACACTCCAGTCCAGTCAAGTAATATCTCATTATCAAGCTGGGAATGATAACACTCCAGTCCAGTCAAGTAATATCTCATTATCAAGCTGGGAATGATAACACTCCAGTCAAGTCAAGTAATATCTCATTATCAAGCTGGGAATGATAACACTCCAGTCAAGTCAAGTAATATCTCATTATCAAGCTGGGAATGATAATACTCCAGTCAAGTCAAGTATTATCTTATTATCAAGCTGGGAATGATAATACTCCAGTCAACTCAAGTATTATCTTATTATCAAGCTGGGAATGATAATACTCCAGTCCAGTCAAGTATTATCTTATTATCAAGCTGGGAATGATAATACTCCAGTCAACTCAAGTATTATCTTATTATCAAGCTGGGAATGATAATACTCCAGTCAAGTCAAGTATTATCTTATTATCAAGCTGGGAATGATAATACTCCAGTCAAGTCAAGTATTATCTTATTATCAAGCTGGGAATGATAATACTCCAGTCAAGTCAAGTATTATCTTATTATCAAGCTGGGAATGATAATACTCCAGTCCAGTCAAGTATTATCTCATTATCAAGTCAGGAATGATAATACAAGTTCTCAGGGGTATTCAATATAAGTGAGACTTAATAACGTATTCTGGTAAAAACGGACAAGGCAATTTAATGATTAAATGCTAAAATCACACTTTTTCACCCAATGAAATGAACTTTAAAATGTCTAAGTCATTTCTTCATACACATTTATATATGAATATGAATGAAAAATCTAAGAATCAGCAAAAATAATGCAAGCGTCTAGCGGTATTGTTTCAATCCTGTATTGATTTAAATCCATTTAATATACCTCTTAAGATTATCTTATCTTTAAATATAACCTTATGAATAAGAAAATCTTAAAATCAACGATTTTTGTACTTAAAATCAAAAGTGATCACATTTAATAAACATCCTTTTTTTTCCCTTTAATAAATATCTTATCTTTAGAAAATCTTTGGAAAAGCCCATGAAAGGTTAAAAAAATCTTAAAATGTGTTTTGAATACGGGCATTGAAGAGCTTAAAAATGGCATATAAAAAAACTATGTTACATGACTGACTGATATAATGGCACTGAATAATTGAAATAAGATAAAGAATTATCTGATATGAACACAAAATAAAGTGAAATATAAATACAGAATGGTGAAATCAAAAACAAATGAGGCAGAACATCAACTTAAAAAAGGACCACAAATTGATGCCATGGTTAATGAACTGGTAAACTCAACAACTTACTTACATTAATATTCAAAATGACTGACATAAAACATGTGGGATCTAGACTAAAGAAAACCAATTTGAACATTTCTTAATCAAAAAAAAAAAAAATTGACAAAATAAATATTTTTGAAATTTTCTTTCATTTACCTGATCTTCAATAGCAAGATAAGGTTGTCCAGAATCTGGGTCAAACTCGAGGGCTGACTTTAGTTTACTCTCTATATAATCTGTTAGTGACCTTGCAGCCATAGTTAACCTTGCCTCGCATACATACATCAGTTTCTGATAGAACGCCATCACCATCTTAGTAAGAGCTGATTGTTCTACAACATTCTGTATTGAAACAAAACAAGGGGGTACAACAAATTTTTATACCTGTAGTTACAGCTTCGGAACTTAGTGCAAATGGATGACTTATCTATGTGAAACAAGAAGGGGGATGTGCCCCTTTCTGTTTGGGGGGTTTGAAGGAGGGCGCAGTTCCCTTCATAGCCAAGAAAGTTTTGGACTTGTGAGACGCTAAAAATGATTTAAAGTCGATCATAAGGTAACGTGTAATCAACCCTGAAAAGCCTTTGACTCTATCTCAATCCATTAAGAAGTTGCAGCACTAATTTTAATGGAAAAAATCAACGCAAAATAGTGATTTTTGGCAATTTTGAGATGTCCCCTCGTTGCCATGGTAACAGGAAATTTAAGACTGAGCATGTTGTTACAAAGGCAATGGTCCAGTCAACATTTGTGCCAAGTTTGATTAGTATTGAAGCAGTTTTTATAGTTTTATAGCAATTTGGACTTGTAAAGGGACATTTTTATAATGAAAACAGCCATTTTTCACAAAATGCTCATGCAGTAATGGGTTAAAAAGACAAATTATTGGTCCTAAATTAATCACCTGTAGACATGATTGAGGAAGTATTTTTACCTTACGACCTTTACCCTGTGAGCTCCCCCTGCTGCCTTGCCTACTTGTCTGTTTCTTGTCATCTACTCCAGTCTGCAGACAGGTCAGTACTAAATCTTGTAAGACCTCCATCATTCCTGGCGAAACATAGACATGTTTAAAAATAGTGGAAATCAAGGTTAAACATAGAAAATAAGAGCTGGATGAGAAAAAATTGCAGCTTGAGTTATGCATGAACCCACAACATGTACAATAAATCCATTTCCTGCATGCACAAATATCTGGCTACTTATTCACTTTCTCTCAGTTTGCATTGCACTATGAAGGCTATATTGCTATTTTTCAGCTTCACTCATAGAGAAAGAACTTGTTCATGTATTATTTTGGACCAAACAGCCACCTGAAAAATCACTTACATTCCCTTAGCTAAACAACTACCTCACATGGAACGATCTGAAGTCCCTGCCAAGTTTTGAACCTTATAGCTTATAGCTTCCCCAAGCACATTTATAAGCTTTATTCAATCGTCAAGACTAAATGTGCCGATAATAATCCTGAACAACCATAAAAATAAAACAACACTGAAGTGAATTTCAGACGATTTTTTTAAGACTGGTCAGATGGATTTATAAGGTCGTGTTAAACTGCAAGTCTGCTAAGATTGTTCTTTAATGTCTGTTCAGACTTCTGTATAAAGTACGGTAATACTATTAGGATGTGCAGTCTAGTCTTGACTATAGGGTGGTAAAAGTCATTTATCAATGATGATCCTCAAAATGATAAATTAATAATAACTTGTTTCGTATAATTATGCTCTTATACAATAAGAATTAACAAACAAATCCAGTATCTAACATAATTACCAACAACATATTCTATTTGTCCAGCCATACAATGTAAAACTCTCCAAGAGTCTGCTATATGGCTCTGATTCTAAAATAGAAACATTAAAACCCGTAAGTGATACAGTCTAACTTTAGATGAAAAACACAGACTAACTTAATTTGCTGGATAGTCTATTCATTCATCATGTCTTACATTAAAAATGGGAACTTCAAATGTTGGTTTATTTTTTTTATTTTTTTTATTGGAGGGGGGGGGACCACAAATTTATGGATACTGATGACAAAAGTGCTACATTTTGCAGGCCTAATGAATTCAATACCTTGCAGTCTGGTATATGTTCAATTTTCAACAGCATGTACAATCTAGAATAACTGGTTTGTCATATTACTTAAATACAGTAACGTATTGTCAAGAACTGAATTGTGACAATTTAAAATTGTCAAATCTAAAAACATGAATATCAAAGAAGTATTTTTGTGAGCACTAAATATATTAAATATACATGTATTCATATAAAACTCATCACTTCAAATTTTAACTTAAATTTTAGTATACTCCACAAATTGTTTTGGTTTGAGTGCACATATTTCTTCATAAGTAACTGTAGGTACAACCTCTGTTAACTTTCTTTTGCCTAGTGAACAAGCTCAATCTAACTAAGCCTGCAACATTTTCAATTTATGCCGTGTTAAACTTTCTTTAGGGATTCTGTTTTTCTCTATTTAAGTGGCTTAGAACTATTACTTTGTAAGTTTTTAAATCACACTTTGAGTCCTAGCCAGTACGGGATATTTCCCGCTGCATTTGTATCTTTTTTAGCGGATTAAAAGTATTTGAAAGAATAACAGATATATAAACATATATTTAGCTCCATGAAAGAATAAACATCAATTTTAAATGCAAACAGACTCTGGTGAATTGAGTAAAAGTGTGAAAATTCTGTTGCTTAGAGTTAAGTGTAAAACGTTAAATGAGCCGCGTCACGACAAAACTAACGTTATGCATTTGCGACCAGCATGGACCCAGACCAGCCTGCGATTCCGCGCAGTCTGATCAGGATCCATGCTGTTCGCTAACCAACCCTATTGCAAGTATTGAAACTGATAAGGAACAACATGGATCCTGATCAGACTGCGCGGATGCATGCTGGTCGCAAACGCATAACGTTGGTTTTGTCGTGACGCGGCTCAAATCATCTTTTACCTCGCAGTAGTAAAAGGCGATAGTAATTTGACCAATCAGATTTCCTCAAAGATTCGTCCATGTTTTTCTCGATAAAGTTAGTGACTGCCCGAACATTAGCAATACTCATAGGGTCACTTCTATGTTGGGGACCACTGTTCTGAAAATGCGTGTTTCAAAAGAAAAAATCATAAAATACCAGAAACTCGTATATAGCATGACAATGGTAAAAGGTGAAAACAATTATATCAAATTCTAAAAAGTTAACTAATTGTTATCGTAAATTACTTATTTTCTGTAAATCATAAGGTGTCAAGTGCTGTGTGTCAGCTGTAAAAAATTGCCTCGTACTCACTTCAGTGTTGTTTTATTTTTATTTTTCTGGTCCTTTGAGATCATTGATGCCAGCACTATTAAGTGTTGAGAATTGAGTACCTCTCTTAAGTACAGCTCAATCCGGTGCTTGGGGCGTGAGGGATGTTACATTGAATCATTATCCCTCATGTACAATGCAATATTCATGTAATTTTGTTGTGGTTAATGCTTCCGAGCGATCACTTTGTTTGCAGATTTTAATATTTTCTTCATTTTTATTCCATGACACTTTCTTTACCTTACTGATTTAAAAAGGAAAATTACCATACATATATCAAACTACAAAAATATGTGTAACTTGTCATGCAAATATAAAACATTTAGTTAATTATACGTAACCTGTTAAACTTGTATTTGTACCCGGAAGCTAGAAGTATCGTAAAATCTGGGAGATCACATGACGAGACTAACATACTCTATATTGGTTCATCATTGAAAATGAAAACGTCCATTGTTAATGCAACAGATTTTTTCAGCAATATGCTAAACTTGAGATATTTTTTCATCAAAATGCTAAATTTGAGGCATTTTATCATCAAAATGCTAAACTTGAGAAACTTTATCATCAAAACAGATAAACAATGATAAACGTTAGAAATTCTATCATGAAAATGCTAAACTTGCGGGATTTTATCATCAAAATGATATACTAGAGGGATTCTGTCATCAAAATGCTAAACTTGGGGTATATCATAGAATCTTCCCAGATAACACCACAAAAATCACTGCTTAAATCTTCAAAATTAGACGAAAAGGTCTGTACTTGACAGTGTTATAGATCAGTTTCCTGTCTCAAAATGTATAGTTTTGTTATTTAAAATATCCCATTCTGCGTTTGAAATACGGTGATAAATACTATAAAATATGTTATTTATACAACAGAAGATGTTAAATATTACATGAATCTTTAGGGTTTTTTTATTTTGCTTTAAATATTTTTGCGTACCTGGATGCAGCTTTAGATGCTTGAAATGTTGTTTTATAAAAAGAATTATGTCAATGTGAATCATGGACAGTTACTTTTGAAAATGTCCGGGAAAGTAATGTTTCAAATTTTATGAAAATTATGTTTTTCTTTTATATAAACAATAATGATGCTGATTCATGTGATAAATTACACTTGTTTCACACACATGACGCTGTTGAGGTATCTTTGTGATTTGTTACATTTTATCATTTCTCTGTGTAATTTAATGTTCTGTTTTATACCATGTTTTATGAGAGAAATATATCATGTATAATTTAGTTTTATTGTGATTTATTATTTCGTTTAGGCTGATTGGAAAAAATGAAGTGGAAGCAAAGACATATTTTGTGTACTTTTAAGATATGTAAACATTTGTGTGCAACAGAAAGGATAATCTACTCCCCCCCCCCCCAAAAAAAAAGCAAGTACAGTTTTTGTAACAAATTTAACATTGTTTAATGGTCAAGCATAACTGTTGGCAATGCACACCATGTGGAATTCCGATTTTTTGCCTTTTCTAAATGCTGGATAATGAAAGAAAACCCTGGATATTATTATGGTTTATTCATGTTTACTGAGGAACTTTTCACTGAGAGTCAATGCTAGAGTTAGGGTCTAATTAAGTGACCGATTGTAAACCATAGTCCAGATAACATGTATACAAAAAGTTTTAAATTATGTGTTTTAAGGTTAACAAATGTTTACTGTTTACACGACGACTTAACAACCGTGTAAACGTTCAACCGACTCCACTTAAAGAAATCTTAGACTTTTAGAATTATAATTTTTACTGATAAGGTAGCATATTTTGTTTGTATATTTTTATTACGAAATATATCCCATAATGGATGAACTGATCTTTCTTCAGCTGTTGGTTTTGTACTTATTATCAATTATTAAATTTTCTAACAGGTCTGCCTTAACTCCGACCAACTCAATTTAAGCATATAAAGGTGTGTCACAGGATGGACGGACAACAGCAGATACTGCGATGAAAACAAATACAGTACAAATCAGCAAGTTTATTATTTAAAAAAGAGATGATAATATCTACAAATAGAAAAATGAAATGAAAATGAAATTAATTAAATAGATTAAAGTAAGTCCTTTACTTAGCATTTAGAGTAACACGTAGCAGTAACACACTTATAAAAAGACACCTATTTCAAATTCCTTATTATCCTTTCAACCTCCACGCTGCTCCTATGTTTAGTGTTAGCCATTCTGATCTAACATCAGAATGATACAAAACTCACAAGAACAGTACGAAAAGAGGATGCTCGCACGATACAGGCTGAGCTATAAATCCTTCAACTCTAATTGCTTTCTATCCTCCTGGGTATACGATTCGTTATACTGGGCATTAACTTCCGGTTATCAAATGTTCCTAGTTGCCTTTGCCTTATTTTGTCGGGGTCGTTCACTAGCGTCGCTGGTTATCGTCATGTAGCCCTCCTTGCGTATCGTGTCGGGGTTGTAATCTACAGACTTCAAGCTGCTATAATCATAATAATACCTCCGCTGGTTCTTATAGTAAACATGGTTAGATGTCAGGGTAGTCACTGCTTGTTATCGGATTTCTCAATGCAATTAATTATATTACAAATGTAAGATAACAAGTTCTCAAGGAAATGTAAAAATGATATATAAAATCGAGATAAATAAGAATCCCTCAAAAAGCCCAACACGGCAAAATTTAAAATGTTGCAGGCTCGGTTTGATTGAGCCTATTCATGGACGGTTCTTGTTAGTGCAAGTTACCGTCCAGCGCCCCCATAGCACCGGCTTAAGTAATATTAAACATTAACACTAATTGGTAAAATTTGAAAGTTTGAAACATCCGCATGGCAGTTATCATGAAACATTTGATGTGACATGTTAGTGCCATTCCATGAAAAGTGGCGTATGGTCCCCAAGTGAATAAATGTTGAAAGTTGTAAGTTGAAACAAAGTATTTACACAAATTAATAATTATAACTACCTTGCAGCTAGTACAATTTTACATTACAGTTTAGGAATGAAAATCGCATACATGAATAAAAAGATGCATGGCCGACAAAGACAATTACGGTGTTCCATATTTTAAATTATACAACGTATAGAATTTGACAATTGTGCAACAAGTGTTTGCATATACAACATGAACAAAACTAGATATTTTTCCCTCACTATTTGAAAAGCAAAACAATTAACGGCAAATTGTTATGATGAAGACAGAAGCATCTGCACTTCAGTAAAAGCAAATACAAAAATTTAAAACCGCTGACTTTACGTGAAAATATATCATATGAAAATGCAAAAGAAAAAAATTAAAACTGCAAATAATTTGGCAAAAATCAACTCAAAATAATTTTACTGAAAAATTAAAAATTAGATTTTAGAAATATTTTCACCTGACACAGCCTCTTATTTTATCACTTTCAGTATACAAAGACACTTATGTAATATCCATTTTTGTCTATGTACATGTATAACACAATGACATGTTCAACATAAATAATAAATTGTCTTTCTGATATCCTAATTCTACTATTTTTACAATCAGATATATAAATGTACAGCACATTATTAAATAGTGTTTAGAGTAATGGGTTTATATATATATATATGCTTACAAGTATTTACCTTTGCAATTGAATGACTGAATGTTATTAAATATTTAAAGTTTGTTTAACAAAATATATTTACACATATAATATGATATTTAGCAGTAATGTTCCTTTACTTGTATATGTCTCTCATTTATCATAATTTATATTTTTCTTATTTTCTATGAAGTGCTGACGGAATTATATTAAATATTTAAAGTTTCTGTTTTTTTTTAATAAAAAAGAAATATTTTACATATATGTAATATGCTGTTTTACAGGACTATTCCTTTACTTTTATATGTCACTCTTCCATCAAAATTTGTACTTGAGTTTTTTTCCACCGTTTTGTTGTACATTCTATACCCTGAAATTTCCGAATGCAGATAGAAGTGTGCAGATATGTATCTTTGCAGCATTGTTTCTTCTCCTTAGATTTAGAGACATAAAATAACACTGTAGAGCATCCCTAACTCTACCTTCTTGTTCCATACACTTTCCGAGAATATTTAAAGCTGTTTCCCGGTGTGCAAGGTTTTGTTCGGTTTTTATGGTTGTGAGAAGTTTTGAGAGGGCAGATTGTTTTTCATTAATTTTCCCAAGATGGCTGTTAACCTTGTATTGTAGAAAATAAAGGTATGGGAGAGAATCCACCACAGCATTATCCATCCAGTATTCATCATTTAATGTTCGGTAAATTCTGTCCTCCGGGGTAGATCTTGTCATTTCATATCTGAGTTCAGTGGGTACACAGTGACACTCACATGGCATAAATCTGACACATGATGCTGTTGCATACTGTATGGCATCTTCATTATGATTGTCACATGTCACAAAGAATCCTTGTCTGCGTTCTTTTGTTTCCAATTGATAACAACCACAGACTGGTTCAACAACATGCAGATCATACCTTCTTTCAATTTCACTGAGAACCAAGTCAGCTTTTTCTATTTCTTGTGCACAGTATAAGATTGAAGCTAATTTCAGTTTACTTGAAGCAACATCTGTATTCAAACCAAGTGAGATTAGCTTGAGGGCATCAGCTGATACAGAGTTGTGCTGATTGATGTTAATGGAGGCCAGCACAGATCCAAGTGTTGTACAGTACATTGGCAACAGAAGTTGACAGGCTGTCCCAACCAATCCTTCATGCTGGAGATTGAAGATAATTGAAATACAGTTTGTTAAAGTGTGTACAGCTTCATAAGTACTTATATTCTGGAGATTTGCATTACTCTTAAGATGTACATTTAAAATGCACCAAGCTGTATTACGTAATAGCAAGTCTGAAATGCGATGACTTGTCTTGAATGGACATAAGTTATAAAACTTGAGACGAAGTCTGAAACTAAGACCATCACATTTAATCCTAAGTAAGGCCACTCCTTCACTGTTGATAATGTTGCGAAGAATTTCCAGGATATATGGTTTGACAACAGGTGATATCTTACTTCTCATCAAATTGTTCTCAGGTATGATAAAATGTGGACAGTTTTCATTAATGATATTGTTATACAGATGATATAAACATGATGAAAGACATGAAAGTAAATTGTTTTCTCTCCAGATGTTAAAATGTGAATTTGCAATACAATGAAATAGTACAGTTTTACACATGTAACTGGAAATGACATCTTCAAACTGTGGATCAAGGAATGATTTTATAACCATTTTCATCAAGACATAACAGCGTATTTGTGTAATATTCAGATTTAACATTAAACACCTTTCAGCTAAAGATGTTGATATTCTCCACTCAAGTTGCCTAAAGTCACCCCCTCTACATCCAACAGGAACAACAAAGCATCCAGTTCTGCTGCAATATTGTTTAATCTCAGCAGAGGGCCACTGAGCATCACCTTGTTGATCCAACCATTGTCTAGCTTGTTGTGGCCATGTTTTACAGTGCAGAGCTGTCACATTGTCTGTATGACAATAACCAGGTGGTCCTTGACTTACTCTTGCTGGTCCATGCATTTTTAATTTGTCTAAATTTTTGTCAGATAGTATTGAATGTTTTACCAGTACTTTTCCTGTTCTGTCTCTGAAGCAGTTTTGATCAGATTCTCCATTAACAGGACGAGGAACATCAGGTCTTAGAAATTGAAGTAAACAGTATCCAGGAGATACAGAATTATCTTGAATCATCAGTAGATTATGAAAACCAGGTATCCATTCACACCAGTCTTGTATTACAAGTAGATCATTTAAACAAAAAAGTACGTCTGTGTCTGACTTAATCCCCATGGTAGTTGTTCCTTCTGATTGACTCCCGAAATAGTAAAACATATAAGTATTCTCATTCCATAATTTGTTATTCACATGTCCAATTGTTTCTGTCAGAAGCCAGGCTCTCCTCCTCTTCAGCACTATTCTCTCATCAACACCTATATCAGCTAGAACTTCAGATAATCTCATCGATACGGTCTGGGTATAATTTGGTACTTGATACATTCTGTAAATAAAATATTTAATGTCTTTATTGATCTAACTTGGTCAAAAGTTTCAAACATTTTTTTCTTTTTTTTACTTCATTTTCCTGTATGGTGTATTGTTGAAAAAATCTGGAAACAAAAAGATCCATCGAAAGAATTGATCACATTAAATTACAAGAAAATTGCAGGCTCCGTTTGATTGAGACTGTAGAAGATAATTTTTGTCATTAGCAAATTCTTGTATGAATTATATTTTTCTCAACAGTATGTCAACACTTTATAAAATGAAACTATAATATTCAGTATCTATATATAGTTAATATAAATAGATGCTGGATAGTACTGCCTGTGAGTCACCCAGGTATAGGTAAATATCGTGTTGTACTCATTGGCTTTATCTAAATTAGAAATTCGCTAAACTCTGTAACAAACTCATTACAGCTGCTATCTTTTGTTCTTTAATGATTCTGCGAATGTGTTGGAAACCTGGTTGAATGATTTTCCTTTTCAGAACTTTTGTGATCATTTTTGTGGCTTTTTTCTTTCATTTTAAACTTACTTTTTATTCTTAATTATAATTAACATCATGGTTTATTTTTACCAAACTTCACTTGAATGATCCTGAGCAGGCAACCAACTACATAAGTTATATTAATGATTTAAGTATGATGCATAATTTTGTCACTGGAGTAAGAAATTGTCTTTTAAATGATTTTTTTAATAATCTCCTCAGAAACTGTAGAGAGCATCTAAAGATCTTTGGCATGAAACACTTTAACAAAAGTTTTAAAGATCATGCCCCTGGCACACCCTGAGTATTATTTAGTTTACATAGACTTATATAGGAAAATATATTTGAATTTCAGCATGCAACTAATCATGCCCAGAACTTGCGCATTGCATGTCACGGCATGTAGTATTGCCTTATAGACATAAGAAATGTCTTTATTGATTTCCTTATCTAACTCACTCTGTCACTACTGATTATAAATGTTTACTGTTAAATATTCAAAAACAATTTATTTCTAGACTTCTCTATCTTGATGATACATCTTAGAAGTAATTTACATTATCTCTTTAGAATCAAATTCTAGTACAAATTATATAGCGTAACAATCTTTGATTCAGCTATTTATCAAAACAAACATATTATATTACTTTATAAACCTAAGGTTCTGTTTCGAAAGAAAACACATGTCAGAAGAAAAGAAAATATATATTGGATATATATCCTGTAAATTATAGGTACATGAGGTCTGTAGATTCAAACACCTTTCACGGAAACATCGTTTTTTGACCAATTTCTTAATTGCGAAATGTTGGGGGAATTTTATAATAATTTTACTTCCTCTTTCTTTTTCAATTTTAATTCGATAACTCTTTTTATGAATTTTTATATATCTGACATTTGTTACCCCCCTTAGTTGTTGTTGAGATGAAGCACACAGTCTATGGCGTGTGTTTCATTAGTCATTTCATTAATGATATAATTATTGTCCTGAATTTAATTTTTCAGAAAAAGTGAGAACTAATTACATGAAAACATAATATCTTAAAGTATGAATAAAACAAGCAAACATAACACTATTATTACGGTTTATATAATGTATTTAAATTTTTATCACTCATAAATTTAATGTTTTAATGTGCTCTCACTCTGATAATGTTATAACAAATTAAGCTATGTATGCATATTATGCATTCAAAGAGAGAAATGAGATATCACGTAATGCAGATACTGACAGTTAGAAATCAATAGCATATACCTACTATATTGTTGAGATCATATTCCCGTAATCATTTTGTATGTTATAACACAGATACTTAAATTTGAAATAATAATTATAAATTATTTGAGAATATTCATGAATGTTACTTCTAGGTATTGATTAGTTTGTTGTTTTCAATTTTGAAACTTTAGTGTTGAATACGTTGTACAGAGATGTGATAAATGGATTTACTTTTCATAAATTTAATGGTTGGAAACCTGTTTGAAGGCATTTCCTGTTAAGCTCTACGTGCTCAGATGTGAATACGGAATGCTTCTTTTGTCTTTGGGGTCAAAGTTGGCCGTGCCCTGAGGTCATTCAATTTACATAGACTCATGTAGACAAACATGTTATATTTGATAACATGTTATAACTATGCCCAGAGCTTGCATATTCCTCATGTTGTGTAGACATAAATAACGTCTTTATATTGATTTCCTTACTACGTTTTAAGACCAAATACATAAATTTTTCAAAAACAATTTTATTTAACACATTTACCTTAATAATACATCTTTGAAATATTTATCATCATATTCATAAGTATCCAATTCTTGAAGAATATTAATAGATTAACATTATGTTTGATTTACTTTTTTTCTTCCTCTTTCTTTAGTTCAGCTATTTATGAAACTCGTTATTACCTTATAAGTTTCTATTTCTAAATTTCTCTGAAAGAAGTAAAAGAAAATTACCTTTTTGTTTATATATGCTGTAAACTATAGGCAATGAAGTCTGTAGATTCCAACACCTTTCAGAGAAACATAATTTTTGATCAATTTCTCATTTGTGAAGTGTTGGTTTTTTATAATAATTTTACTTCCTCTTTCTTTTCAATTTTAAGAAGGTAACTCTTTTCATGAATTTTTATATATCTAACATTGGTTACCTCCCTTTCTTGTAGTAAATGAAGAACACAGTCCATGACATGTGGTTCATTTTTCTTGTTTATTATGGTATCATTTTTGTAAAATAGCTTAAACCCTGATTTTAATTTTTCAGAAAAAGTGAGAACTAATAACATGAAAACATAATAAACATCTTAAAGTATAACTAAAATAAGCATACATAACACAATTATTACAGTTTATATAATGTATTTAAATTTTTATCACTTTCTTGCTTTTTTATCTAAAAGTATGTTGTATTTTTGATGACTAAAACAAAAATACATAAGAAAATCATAAGAGTTTATATAAAGCATTGTTTACCACTTTTTTAGCTGTTTAATTTTATAGACAATGCATAATGTATATCAATATTTCGTTTTCAATATATCAATAAATTATTTTCTATGATCAGGGACAGTAGTAGTACTGGATAAATTGAATTTTTGTTTGCTCATTAGAGAAAATAATAGGATATTTATCATAAAAGCATCATTGTAAATCAGAGACAAATTGTTTCTGAAAAATCTAGAAAGTTTGACATTGTATTTCAAAGCAGCATGCCTCCAGATTCGGCAAATTTTCATTAACATTTTGAAATTGTAATTTAAAGTAAATATTGTAAAAATAAAAAAAAAGGATAATAAATTCACACATTGCAAACGGATCTGACAATCCATGTAAATTGACAAAGAGAGGCCAAAATATGCAAAAATGGCCCTGTGTGAGTAACACAGTAGAACTATGGTGATAAGTACGGCAAAATCAGCTATAAATCGTAAGATGTAAATATTACTTAAACTATTCTGAAAATTTTAGTACATGATAAATCGGTCTTCCAGGACAGTTGCGGTAAAAATGGTGCTCGAGGATAGATGCTGATAAATCGGTGCTGCAGGACAGTTGCTGATACATCGGTGCTAGAAAACTGTTGATGATACATCCATGCTGCAGGACAGTTGCTGATAAATCGGTGCGAGACAACAATTGATAATACATCCGTGCTGATAAATTGGTACTAGAGGACAGTTGCTGATACATCAATGCTAGAGGAGAGTTGGTGATAAATTGGTGCTAGAGGACAGTTGCTGATACATCGGTGCTAGAAAACAGTTGATGATACATCCATGCTAGAGGACAGTTGCTGATAAATCGGTGCTAGACAATAATTGATGATACATCCGTGCTGATAAATTGGTGCTAGAGGACAGTTGCTGATACATCCATGCTAGAGGACAGTTGCGGTTAAATCGGTGCTAGAGGACAGTTGCTGATAAATTGGTACTAGAGGACAGTTGCTGATACATCAATGCTAGAGGACAGTTGCTGATTCATTGGTGATAGAAAACAGTGGATACATCCGTGCTAGAGGACAGTTGCTGATAAATTGGTGCGAGACAACAATTGATAATACACCCGTGCTGATAAATTCGTACTAGAGGACAGTTGCTGATACTTCAATGCTAGAGGAGAGTTGGTGATAAATGGGTGCTTGAGGACAGTTGCAGTTAAATCGGTGCTACAGGACAGTTATGGATACATTGGTGCTCGAGAACAGATGATGATACATCCGTGCTAAAGGACAGTTGCTGATAAATTGGTGCTTGAGGATAGTTGGGGTTAAATCGGTGCTAGAGGACAGTTGATGATAAATCAGTGCTAGAGGACAGTTGATGATACATTCACGCTAGAGGACAGTTGCGGTTAAATCCGTGCTAGAGGACAGTTGCTGATAACTCAGTGCTTGAGGACAGTTGCAGTTTAATTGGTGCTAGAGGACAGTTGCTGATTAATCGGTACTAGAGGACAGTTGATGATAAATCCATGCTCGAGGACAATTGATGATCAATTGGTGCTCGAGGACTGTTGATGATAAATCAGTACTAGAGGACAAGTGATGATACATCGGTGCTTGAGGACAGTTGCGGTTAAATCGGTGTTCGAGGACAGTTGCTGATAAATCCGTGCTTGAGGACATTTGCGGCTAAATCGGTGCTAGAGGACAGTTGCGGTTAAATTTGTGCTAAACGACACTTCATGATAAATTGGTGCTCGAGGACAGTTGTTTGTAGATGGACCATGAAACTTCAAATGAATACATTCAGAGGTTAACACTTAACAGGCTGGAACTGGAATTGATAAGCATTTGCCATCAGTATAATAGTCAAGCAAGTCTGCAAGTCTGTTACCCAGCTTACTTTAAATTTTAGCTTGACATCCCCAAGTTGAACATAGACAAATTCAATGAAATTGAAAGCTGGAAAAGTCCATTTAAGAAATACAGCACATCATAGGAATAATTAGATACAAAGTTGTTAGCAAAACCTCTATCAAGTGTTGCACTAAGGCAACCCTTTCTTAAACAGTCCATCTAAAGCAAATTATAGCACAAAAAAGACACAGTAACTTCAACTCTGAGCATCTTTTATTAAAAGTGTATCTATGAAAATATATAACTCTAACAAATAACTTGTATATATCTAACAGTGCTCGTAATAAGTACCATATTGGTATGTAGCATTTATGGCATATAAATAGGAAATAACATAATTATAGAAATATACAAAATTTTGGCATTCAGCTATCACAGTAAAAATTTCTCAGAAGTTTAAGGTTAAAGTTTGAGCACAACTTTGATAATTTAAAGTTTGCATAAAATTACAGACAATTATACATGAATGATACTATTCATCAGTGAAGATGAAATAAAATAACTTTATGTACAATGATACCTGAAATTTACCAACAAATATAAATACTATTTATCACATATCTGTTCCGATTTTGTGACTGCGTAAAATGGTATTGCACGAATGTGCATATATTTTGACATTACTTCATTTGCGTTATATAAACATAAGTGTGTCAATGAAAAAAGATTCATTGCACTTCTTACAGTCCTTATTTTGGGTATGTGATAAATAGAATATTACATTTGTGTAGGTTCATTTCTGAATTTATTGAATGAGTTCAATATTAATATACAATGTAATTTTATTCAACTCATTCAATAAATTCAGTATTAAACCTACACTCAATATCCTCTATATCTTGAGTGGACGGCATCAGATAAACTGAGATCAATATTATTATGGACTTTGTAATTGCAAAACATTCAAAACATAAATACTAACAAACAATAATTGGAAGCTCGTTAATTCATGAAAGATCAATTAAGTCACATTATAATTCAACTAGAAATATGTGTATAGGTCGCGAATACCCCGACATTACACATTCTACAGACATGTATTGTGACGGACAAGGGCAACATTATATTCACCATCCTGTTAGGGCATAAACACTCTGCAATGAAATAAACCAGCTTTTCAGGGTATAAAATATATACTATGGCGTCCTTTTACATGAACTTGTGTTCAATTCACATGTTTGATAACTAACCATCATGGTTTCACATGAAAGTTTCAGTTGCTGTGACTATAAAATCACCATCTCATACAGCATAACAATCAAAACTGATGTACATAAACGAGGAACAATTTACACATTTTCCCTGATTGTCATCATGTTGGCAGGTTTGGTCCTGTAATAGTCTGGGTTGTCAAGGATACTAGAGGCTACACTTGGGGGTCTGGATGTCTGATGGTAGACATCAGGTTGTGTCAGATATGGATCTAGTGGCTGGTCCATACTTCCTCTATAACATAAAACATTGTATTGATGTATTTTATATATTTTATGTTTGTATTTTATGTTTTAAATATATGTATACATGTATAGATGAGATTATCATAACTTGATGAAATAAAAGTAAAACATCAATTAATGAAAGAAAAGTAAAATATCAATTAATGAAAGAAAAGTAAAATTTAAACTAATGAAAGAAAAGTAAAGTCTTAATTAATGAAATAAAAAGTAAAAAATCAATTAAAGAACATACATATCAATTAATGAAAACAGGCAAATTACAAAAACTATCAATTAATGAAATAACAAGAGCCACCGCCGGGCGGGGGCAACGCTCGACTTTTTACTTTTTCTAAACGCAAACATAGAAAGGTTTGAACATATATTGACGTTTCCTTTTTATAAATTAGTTGGTCTGTCTTGTCACATTAGTTTTGTTTATATATTTTGTATATATATGAATAGAAACATTAAGCATATTTCTAAAAATAGCAACAATGATGCAATTTCTAAAAATAGAAAAATTGATACAATTTCTAAAAATAGAAACAATGACGCAATTTCTAAAAATAGAACAAAAATGACGCAATTTCTAAAAATAGAAAAAATGACGCAATTTCTAAAAATAGCAACAATGACGCAATTTCTAAAACTAGAAAAAAAATGACGCAATTTCTAAAAATAGAAACACATGACGCAATTTGTAAAAATAGAAAAAAAATGACGCAATTTGTAACAAGAGCCACCGCCGGGCGGGGGCAACGCTCGACTTTTTACTTTTTCTAAACGCAAACATCGAAAGGTTTGAACATATATTGATGTTTCCTTTTTACAAATTTAGTTGGTCTGTCTTGTCACATTAGTTTTGTTTATATATTTTGTATATATATGAATAGAAACATTAAGCATATTTCTAAAAATAGCAACAGTATACAATTTCTAAAAATAGCAACAATGACGCAATTTCTAAAAATAGCAACAATGACGCAATTTCTAAAAATAGAAAAAATGACGCAATTACTAAAAATAGCAACAATGACGCAATTTCTAAAAATAGAAAAAAATGACGCAATTTCTAAAAATAGAAAAAAAATGACGCAATTACTAAAAATAGCAACAATGATGCAATTTCTAAAAATAGAAAAAATGACGCAATTTCTAAAAAAAGAACAAAAATGACGCAATTTCTAAAAATAGAAACAATGACGCAATTTCTAACAATAGAAAAAAATGACGCAATTACTAAAAATAGCAACAATGACGCAATTTCTAAAAATAGAAAAAAATGACGCAATTTCTAAAAATAGAAAAAAATGACGCAATTACTAAAAATAGCAACAATGATGCAATTTCTAAAAATAGAAAAAATGACGCAATTTCTAAAAATAGAACAAAAATGACGCAATTTCTAAAAATAGCAACAATGACACAATTTCTAAAAATAGAAAAAATGACGCAATTTCTAAAAATAGAAAAACATGACGCAATTTCTAAAAATAGAAAAACATGACGCAATTTCTAAAAATAGAAAAAAATAGTGCAATTTCTAAAAATAGAAAAAAATAGTGCAATTTATAAAAATAGAAAAAAATGACGCAATTTCTAAAAATAGAAAAACATGACGCAATTTCTAAAAAAAGAAAAAAATGACGCAATTTCTAATAATAGAAAAACATGACGCAATTTCTAAAAATAGAAAAAAATGACGCAATTTCTAAAAATAGAAAAACATGACGCAATTTCTAAAAATAGAAACAATGATGCAATTTCTAAAAATAGAAACAATGACGCAATTTCTAAAAATAGAACAAAAATGACGAAATTTCTAAAAATAGAAAAAAATGACGCAAATTCTAAAAATAAGCAACAATGACGCAATTTCTAAAAATAGAAAAAAATGACGCAAATTCTAAAAATAAGCAACAATGACGCAATTTCTAAAAATAGAAAAAATGACGCAATTTCTAAAATTAGAAAAACATGACGCAATTATATACATGTATATATATGTATATATATATTTATATATATATATATATATATTTGATATATATTATATATATATCTATATATGTATATATATATATATATATATACATGCATATATATATTATATATATATATATATATATATATATATATAATAAAACAAAAAACACAGTCCATGAGTTAACTTATTTAATTATTTGCCAACCGGTTTCTCTTATGATCATCAGGGCAAATGATCATAAGAGAAACCGGTTGGCAAATAATTAAATAAGTTAACTCATGGACTGTGTTTTTTGTTTTATTTATATGTGACTTTTTTCCGGCACTTGTTTTCATTTTTTGTATATATATATATATATACCTGCATATATGTATATATATACACACACACATTTATATATATAATATTATATATAATACATATACTATACATACACACACACCAATAAATGCACAATCTGAGAAAATTCAGTAATATAACCTTCAAGGTCAAGGTCATTAAAGAGCCCAAGCAAATTTGGGTTTGATAAACAACAAGGTCTGGTCCTTAAGAATGTTCTGTTA